CCCTTCTCTCCTTTCCCCTATCCTTTCCATTTCCCCTACCGCTTTAGACTTTTTCCTATTTCACATTATCAGTTATACATTTTTGTCCTTATTTACACTTTCAGTTTCTCACACCAGAGAAACGATTTTGTATTTACACGTGTGTCCTATTTATTTCTCTTAAGAGTATGGCCTTGGCTGGGGATTTAGCTCAGTGGTTACACCGCCTGCCTCACAAGCACAAGTTCCTGAGTTCAATCCCCAGTACCAAAAAAAAAAACAAACAAAAAAAAAGAGTATGGCCTCAATGTGCATTCATTCAGCTATGTTTTTTTGTTGTTTTGTTTGTTTGTTTTTTTGAGACAGGGTCTCACTATGTAGTTGAGACTGACCTGGAACTCACTGGGTAGCCCAGGCTGGTCTCGAACCTATAGCGATCCTCCTGCCTCAGCCTCCCGAGTGCTGGGATTAGAGGTGTGTGCCACTGCACCTGGCATTCATTTAGCTATGAATGTCTAAAGTTTCTCATTCTTTATGGCTGAGGAGTACTCTATTTTATATTTTTAAAAAACTACATCTTTATCTAGTCTCCAGTTGACGGGCATTTGAGCTGTTTCCAAGCTTTAGCTATTACAAACTGTGCCGCTATAAACATGGGTGTGCATACATCACTGTGGTATGATTCTTTTGATTCTTTTGGGAAGATACCAAGAAGGGGAATAGCTGGGTCAGATGGGTCCTCTAATCCTAATTTTCTGAGGTATCTCCATATTGATTTCCATAGTGGTTGCACCAGTCTGCACTCCCACCAACAATGGAGAAGGGTTCCTTTCTCCCCATGACCCAGCCAGCATTTGTTACTGTTTGATTTCTTGATAGCAGCCATTCTTTGTGGGGTGAGGTGGAATCTCAGTGTTTCATCTGCATCTCTCAAATGACCAGTGATGTTGAACATTTTTTCATATATTTATTTTCTGCTTTTGCTTCTTTGTCTGAGAAATGTCTATTCATTTCAGATGCCCATTTTTGAATTGGGTCTTTATATTTGGGGGGTCTGATTTTCTTTAATTTCTTTATGTATTCTAGATAGTAGTCCTTTGTCTAATGTTTTTGTGTTTATTGTGGCAAGTACATTAATTGCCTTTGACACAACTCAGAATTTTCTTGAAATAGGTTCAAATCTGTGAGACTAACTCAGCAAGAGTGGAGTCTTTAAAAAAAAAAAAAAGAAATCAGCTGGGCGTGGTGGCACAGGACTGTAATCCCAACACTCAGGCAGGATTGCTGTGAGTTTGAGACCAGCATGGGCTACATAGTGAGTTCCAGGTCAGTCTCAACTACATAGTGACATGCTGTCTCAAAAAAAACCAAAATAAATAAATAAATAATAACAATAATAATAAAAATCAAACAACTAAAAGATGCATATCGTTATACTGATTATATATGTATTATATTTACATAACAAAATATGAAAATCAAGTAATACATGAAAAAGATAACTATGTAAAAAATGTAAAGGCTTTGATTCCATCCGTCTGACTTGTTGCTAATGGTCCTCTTTGTCCTACTGTTGTTGTAGACATAAAACAAGTCTGATAATAACTTAAGATGGCCTTCCAGACTTACCAAAAAGTTAAAGTAAAAAATTTAAACAGCTGGATGTGGTGGCACATGCATGTAATCCCAGCACTCAGGAGGCTAAGGCAGGAGGATTGCTGTGAGTTCAAGGCAGCCTGGGCTACATAGTGAAACTGTCTCCAAAATTTTTTTTTCCAAAAGTGTTCAAATAGCTTATAAATATATTAACAAAATATTTATTTTAATTATACTTTTTATCTTGACTCAGTGAAGATGTCTTTCAGGGAAGATGTCCAGGGTTCAAACTCAATACTTTGTGCCTACCAGGCAGGTATGGCACCACTGAGCTAAATCCCCAGCCCAGATGTTTTATTTATTTATTTATTTTGGTTTTTTGAGACAGAGTCTCACTATGTAGTTGAGACTGACCTGGAACTCACTATGTAGCAGGCTGGTCTGAACTCCCAGCGATCCTCCTGCCTCAGCCTCCCGAGTGCTGGGATTACAGGTGTGCGCCACCACGCCCGGCTCTTTGAGCAGGTTTTGAATAGTATGGCCTAGACCTGATCTCAGCCTGAGGAGTGGGTGACACAAAAAGGATGGTCCACAATGAATTTTTGCCGTTGTGTTCTCTCTTGCATGGTAGTCCCCCTCACGCTGTAGGGTTTGCTTCTTTTCCTACTTTTACTTGGCCAAAACTCACTCTGCAGAGCTGGTTTCTTTTCCCACCTTTCATAAAAATTTGCTACCTTTTGCACTTGTCTTAATCAATTCTTTGCTCAGAACGGAAAGAACCTAGAAACCACCTCCAGCACCCCAAAACCTGGTCATGGTAACAATAAGGTACAGTTTGGCCACTTGGGAACTTCTGATGCATCTGTTTCTCCTAATTATAAGCACTTAGGGGTTCCTTGTTTTTGAAGTAGCCCATGAGAGGAAAAAAGGGCAAGAGAGGTCTTTGCATGACCAAATGGGAAGACGACTGGGGGAGATCCTAGCTAGACTGCTGGTCTTAGACACAATATCCAACACCTACAACTGTAAGGAGAAAAGGTTTATTCTGGCCCATAATGGTTTCATTCCGTAGTTATGTGGCTCCAAGGCAGGACAGCACGGCAGAAGGGTAGCGGTGGAAAGGAAGAGGTTCTTTTAAGGTTTGCTAAGTTGCTAGATTGCCTACACTAGACTTGAACTTGTGATCCTGCCTCAGCTTCCCAGAGTGCTGGGATTACAGGTATGCACCACCTCTAAAGCCAGCTTCACTTGATATTTAAATGTCCCCGATACCCGTGCTAGCAGGATTAAGGGATACTGGGGTGGTGTGGACAAACCCTGAGAGGCCAGAGGGCTCCCTGCCCCTCTATACGGTATGTAGGGCTGAGCAACCTGACCAAGGCTAGGGGCTGATTTCTCTTTGTTGTTGTTGTTTTAGTGTTTTGAGTTGGGTCTTGCCGAGTACTCCAGACAAGCCTTGAGCTCACTATGTAGCCCAGGGTGGTTTCAAACTTTCAGCGATCCTCCTGCCCCAGTCACGCAAGTGCTAGGATCACAAGTGTGCACCATCTCGCCCAGCCCTGATTTCTTAAGAACACTTTTGATATTTCTGGGGAAGTCTAGTGGGAGCAAGAACTGGGCTAGAAATAGAAACCAAAAGTCTGCCCAGACCAGTCCTTCTGGGCTGTCTAGAGAGAAGCAGCAGCTACCAGGACGCTGGCCTGAGAGCCCAGCAGCCTGCAGCTTGGACCTAACTTCCCTTCACAGCCCTCTGCTTCCTCCTCAGATGACCAATGGTCAGTCTGGAAGGGCTGCAAGTCCTCGCCCTTCTGACGGCTGTCTGAGTTCAAGGACAACCCCATGCAAGTAGCTGATTTGATATTTCCTAGGCCCCGAAACCCCAGCTACAGCCCCAAATGTCTATCCTCTTCTTATATCATGGAGCCTCTTCAGGGGATGAGCTGGAGTCCTAACCTCTAGCACCCATGTCTCCGTCTGTTTTCTATTTCTAACAACATAATACCACAAGCTGGACCTCCCACAAAGAAAAGAGGATTGTTTGGACTCATGATTCTGGTCCACGGTTGAGGGCTTCATAGGGAGATGGCTTTCTTGCTGCAGAGTCCCAGGATGGTATAGGGCATCCTCTCTCAAGAGACAGGGAGTAGGGTCTATCTCCACCAGTCTTCTGCTTTAAAGCTACCAGGCCAGTTGCGCTGGTGCATACCTATAATGCCAGCATTTGGAAGGCCGAGGCAGAAGGATTGCTGCAAATTTAAGGCCAGCCTGGGCTACATAGTGAGACCCTATCTCAAAAATCACCAAATAAATAAAATAAAATCAACCAGCAGGATTCAGTCATGAATGACCTGATGACCTCTTAAAGGCCCCACCTCTAAACATCATGGTTGAATTAAATTAAATTTTATCCTCTTAATACATCAAATTGGGGATTAAACTCCAACATGAGTTTCAGAAGGGGACAAAATATATTCACGTCATAGCAACTTATAAAAGGGACTTTATTTATTTTTGTTTTTTGAGACAGGGGCTCCCTATGTAGTTCAGGCTGGCCTTGAACTCACTATGTAGTCCAGGATGGCCTTCCAGTGATCCTCCTGCCTCAGCTTCTCAAGTGTTAGGATATAGGAATGAGCCACTACACTTAGCTCTTTACTGCATTCTTTAAACATTAAACGTTTTAGGGAAGAGAGCATTGGAAATTCCCTCCATTCTTAGGAAATTATTTCCAGTAAGCAGAGGATTTCCAGGAAGCCATAATGTTCCTGGGAGGCCAGGAAGATCTGAGTGTGTCTCCTACTGCGTCTGCTTGTGATGTGGTCCCAGGAAGGGGTGAACTTGGGCAGGAGTGAACTGCTGCTACTCTGTGGGCACCACCCCTAGCCTCCACTGTGCTCAGATTAGCACAGAAGCCAGAGACACTCCCTACAGCAAGGGAAACTGGATGCATGAGACACAGCGCTGGCGCTTACCACCCTGTCTCAGGAAATCAAGACACAGAGCAAGCTGGGCTTTGGGACAACCCACTGAGCCTCAAAGCCTCTCTTCCTTGCTTACTGGAGCAAGTTATCTCGCCTGGCTGGGCCCCAGATCACCCATCTGTAAAATGGGGATAGAATTATAGTCACCTGATGTGGTGGCTGGGAGGACTGTGCTTCAGAATTATGAACGTAGAGACTGAGGCCTGGTGTGGCGTGCTGCACACCCCTCCCCGGGTGTCACATTCCCAGCCACATAAGCCGCCTGTGAGCAGCTCTTTGACACTTGCAAGGATGACAACTTCCTCCATGCGGTGCAGAGCCAAAGCCTAGTCCTTGGCCAGCTCCTCCCCCAGGCCCTTTGTGTTTTCCAGGAAATAACTGTGCCTATTTACCCACCCCCTCCTGATGTCAGGGTTCAGAAAAGAGAATCTGCATCTGGACATCCTCATCAAGCAGACAGGGGCACTGGTGCGTGGCCTTGGGGCCTGAGTGCTGTCCTGCTGGATCTTATCAGTGGTTGGATCTCTGGCAGAGCTGTGGCTGCAAGTGAGGCTAGACTCAGGACTTGCCCGCCAGGATTTAGAACAGGGCCTGTCTCCCTGAGGAGCAGGAAACACCCTATTCCTCCTGAAGCGGTCTGACAGGGTGCCAGGGCTGAAGGCTTGCTGAAAAGGTTTCAGTTTCAAGGTTTCATTTCTAGGTTGCACCCAGAGAGGCTTGGGTGGCTACTGGTAGCAGTTGCATCAGCTGGTCTTTTGCTGCCTGTGATCTTCCAGGAACAACCGTGTCCAGGAGGCAGAAGGTAGGAGTTGCCCTGCTGGAGCCCCAGGCCTCAGAAGTGAGACCCAACATCTGCCCCTGCTCCCTGAGCTCTTGTGACTCAAGTCCTCCTTGGGGTGCATCTTAGGACAGCCCAGACCCCTCAGGATCGCTGTCAGGTTGGGTGGCCCAGGATGCTTTCAGGTCTAGGTCTGCTTCCTTCTTTCTGTACCACACCTGTGGTGTCACTGAGGTGTGGTGTAGCGTGGGGTGGGGGGGCTCTGTTTTCAACAAACACCCTGGACAGGAGCTGTCGGGATGATGTGTAGCCAGGCCACTTCCTAGAGGTGTCCCCAAGAGCAGCCTGTGGGAATGACGGGCACCAGATCAGGGGAGGCTGAGGGAGGTGCCAGGCCAGGGCTGCAGTCCCAGCAGGGCAGCAGAGCGATGCGAGTGTGTCCACAGGTTCCTGGTGCGGACAGATGCCATACTCCAGCCTGCATCCATCTATCATCCCATGCCCCAGGGGCCACAGGGCCCAGCAGGCAGCTTTGGTCCTGCTAGCGCTCTGCCTGATGGTCCTTGTGGGGACGGGAGAGCCAATGGACCACACTCTCCGGTACCTGGTGTTCCACCTCGCCTCCCTGCAGCTGGGCCTGCTGTTGCAAGAGGCTTGCTCTCTGGCCGAGGAGCTGCACCACGTCCATTCCAGGTGACTCCCTCGGGTCTGGGCACCCAACAAGCCTCGCTGCCTTGACTCCTAGGCCTACCTTTCCCTAAATTTCTCTGGCTTGAGTTGGGGCTGGGCTGTCCCCTTCAGGTACCAGGGCAGCTACTGGAAGGCTGTGCAGGCCTGCCTCGGCTGTCCCATCCGCTGTGTGGCAGTGCTGCTGCTGTCCTGCTATTTCTACTGCTCCCTTCCGATGGACACTGGCCTATCACTCAGCTGGACACTTGCACTCCTGGGCCTCTCAAAAGCTCTCAGCATCCTCCTGGGCTTCCAGGTATGACAGGGAGGGGACGGTTTGCTGAGTGGATGCTGTGGCTAGTGTGTCCTGCCTGCGCTGAGTCCTGGGAGTGGAGCCAGGGTGGGGTCCTGGCAGCGGAGCCTACAATGACCTCGGACGGTGAGCCAGGGACAGCAGAAAAGGAGCAAGTCTGGAGCAGACTGGGAAAGTGTCTTAGAGGAGGAGGGCTCTGGGTGTCCTGCATGCAGGAGGCCCCACAGCCCATCCTGTTCTCCACAGGTCCTGGCTCCCGCTGAGATCTCAGCAGTCTGTGAAAAAGGGAACTTCAATGTGGCACACGGGCTGGCATGGTCATATTACATCGGGTACCTGCGGCTGATCCTGCCAGGTGGGCCACCCTCTGTGTCTGTTCCTGGACCGTAAAATGCCCAGACTCTGTATCCAGAACCTCCTCCACTTTGAAAAGTATTTTCATGTCTACCAACAACATCCTGGAAGGCTTTTGACAAATATTTACCCCTTGATCCTCATATGCTTTTTATCTTTTACTTTATAGGCTATGAAGAAGGGATAATCATCACCCTTATCTTTATTTATTTATTTGAGACAGGGTCTTGCTATGTAGTTCAGGCTGGCCTTGAACTCACTGTATAGCACAGGCTGGTTTTAAACTCACAGCAATCCTCCTGCCTCAGCCTCCTGAGTGCTAGGATTACAAGGGTGCACAACTATGCCCAGCTCATCACTCCTATTTTAGAGATAATAAAGTGTGATTTGGAAGAAAGAAAACTGTGATTTGGGGCCAAGATTTAGCTCAGCAGCACCTCATCTGACTTTGGAGCACAAGGTTCCGAGTTCGATACGTGGTACCAGGAGAAAAAAACAAAAACAAAAAGGAAAGGGCCAGGGATGTAGCTTAGGGGAAACATGCCCACCTGCAAGATCCTGAGTTCTATTCCTGGTACCAGGGGGGAAAATATGATTCTCACATATGGGAGGCTGAGGCAGGAAGATTGCTGTGAGTTCAAGGCCAGTTTATACTACAAAACAAGAGCCTGTCTCAAAAAACAAAGCAGGCCGGGGATTTAGCTCAGTGGTTCCAGCCACTGCTTCACAAGCACAAGAACCTGAGTTCAATCCCTGGTACGAAAAAAAAAAGCAAAACAAAATGTGATTCTCAGAGATAAGTGATTTGCCCATCCCCACACAATTTAGTGAGAGGAAACAGGATCTAAAACCAGGTCTGCCTGGAGCCTGGGCCCTTGATCACTCCTCTGTGGAGCCCATGAATCTCTTGTCTGACTGTAGGCCACAGCTGTGGCTCTTCCACATCTCCATGCTGCCTCTATTTGGTCCCAGGACTTCCCAAGGGAGCTGTACTGGAGCTAGAGGCCTGGCTCTGTGCACCTAACCGTGCTGGAAATGTCACCTCCCAGGCTCTGTTCATTTCTCAGAGCCTTGAAAGTTGTGGTGGGAAGGGATGGAGCTGACACAGGAATCGGCAGAAGAGCGGTGAGAGTAGGGTGGTAGGAGTAGGAGGAATGAGAGTGTCCCCAGGGCCTCCTCTTCACTCCCCTAGCTTCCTGTACAATAAGACCCTTGCTTGTTTTTCTGTTGTTTTTGGTTTTTTGAGACAGTGTCTCACTATGTAGTCGAGGCTGGCCTTGAACTCACTAAGGAGCCCAAACTGGCTTCGAAGTTGTGACAATCCTCCTGCCTCAGCCTCCCTGGTGCTGGAATTAAAAGCACGTGCCACCACACCCAGCTAACCCTCGATTCTTCTGCACCCACACCCCACCAGGGCCAACGGCCTGGGTATTAGTACTGGATTGGATAGGAGACAGGATTAGCATGGATGACTTCTTGGGCTTCCTGATCCCAGGGCTCCAGGTGCGGATCCAAGCTTACAATGAGCTCCACAACAACATACTGCGGGGCACAGCCAGCCGCCGGCTGTACATCCTCTTCCCATTGGACTGTGGGGTGCCTGACGACCTGAGTGTGGCGGATCCCAACATTCGCTTCCTGCATATGCTGCCCCAGCACAGCATTGACCATGCTGGCATCAAAGGTCGGGTTTACTCTAACTGCGTCTATCAGCTTCTGGAGAATGGGCAGCCGGTGAGTGTGCGGGGAGGCAGGGCCCAGGCAGGGATCAGGGCCCTGAACTCTGGGCCCTGGCTAAGCACTGACACACATTCAGGACGCATCTCTCAGCCGGTTTCCCTAGTCAGTCCCAAGCAGGAAAGATTCAGTTCTGGGTGATAATGAGAAAGATTTACTGAGTACCTCCTGCCTGCCAGATGCTTTTCTGGGTGCATATCTGACCACACATTGAATCCTCGTCACTGCTCTGTGAAGGAGGGACAGTTATGATCCCTGCTTTTCAAAGGAGCAAATTTGCTGGGTGTGGTGGTGCACGCCTATCATCCCAACACTTGGGAGGTTGAGGTAGGAGAGTTGCTCAGAGTTGCAGGCTGGCCTGGGCTACATAGTGAGTTCAAGACCAGCCTGGACTACACTGTGAGACCCTGTCTCAAAAAACTCAAAAAAAAAAAAAAAA